CATCTTTAACCGTTAATTTTTTCATGATTTAATGATCGGATCTAAACCAAATTACGAGACGATCCTTAAGGTACCATCTTTGCGGTAAAAAAAAATAATTATTGGAATCGGTTCACGCGGTGCAAAGTTATGCGGTGGAATAAATAAAAGAAGTAAAAATACTCCGAAGAATTGATAACCTCCCCTTTTTTGAAGCCGGTTTTAAATAGTCTGAGTTCTTTGTAAATTTTATGTAAATAAGATGCAATTGATGATACTTTAAAAAGTTTATTTATTTATTTCCTACTGTAAATAAAACTTTCATAAATGTATTTTAAAGAGCGAATTTTCAGTATTTGCTGATGATATATATTTAGAAGTATAAACCCTTTCCTCCAAAAAATATATTCCTGGGTGCGCCCCTGGCACTTAGTATTTATTATTTGTAAAAAATATATTTTTACTTTCAAAATGTTTGTAATTTTAAACTTTTCATGTGTATATTTTAAACAACTCATGTTCAAAACCAAATCTTGAACATCTTGTGCGTATACTTGAACAGATTCTGGTTGAAAAATAAACACTTTTCAGTAGTAGTTTTACATGCACTTTTTAGAGTGTACTATTTAGAGGGAAATAATCGAGAAAACAAAAAACCGAAATATGCTTTGTCATATCAATTTTGGCTTATAACCAAAACTTGATTTTTATTTCTCCAGCGCAGCTATCGCTTATTTTTCAAATTCAGCGCCGACAACCTCTTACATTTCTGTGTAATGTTTTTTGACAGACATTAGAAAGTTCTCAACATATGCTTGATCATATGGTCAGAGTTGAAACAGGCACTTTTTAGGGTTATTTATGCAGTTCAACTAGTGATGAATTTGAAAAGAAAACCTCTTTAGAAATTTATACGCAGACCTGTAGTGCTGACCCAGCTGACCCAGGAGTCATAAATGAGTATTTAAGGAGTCCTATTTCGTAGCCATTACGTTCAAAATGAGCTCATTTAAGAGTCCAATATTAGGGTGTTTCCCCTCCTCCGAAGGTCCACTTATGTATATGAGCTTAAATTCATACATCAAATGAGCCTCAATATGAGTCATACTGGACTCTTATTGGCCTCATATACGGCTTATTTTGGACTCTTTAAAACAATTTTTGGCCTCATATATGAATCATTTCAGACTCTTTTTGAGGCTCTTATCGGCTTCATAAATTACTACATTTGAGCTCTTATTTTAGGTTGCTCTTTGAGTCTTATTGAATGCACTATATTTGCAAAGGCATTCAGCAAAAGTTCCTTTAAAATAACATACACTGCCGGAACAAAGTATTGGCACCGCAAATTTTTCACAATATATGCAACAATTTTTACTATTATTCTAATATTTTTCCGCCAATTTTGTATAAAAATATGGTTCATTCTAAAACAACAAACGCAAAAATATAATTCCTAAACTTTGTGCAAAACTCGCGAAAATTCAGCAAATTTTCATCAAAATTTAACTTTTTCATCAGACTTTTTAGAATTTTTTGAGTATGCAGTTTTGTAGCCCATTAAATTCTAGTAAAAGAAATGCAAGTTCAGAGTTAGTCAAAAATCGCGTTGATTTTTGGGAACTTTTTTTGTTGAAGGTGTTTTGCATTTTTTCCATATAAAGTACTTTCGAAAAAAAAAATTTTGTGTGGAAGAGACTGCGTGAAAAAAATTGCCAAAAATCAACGGTAATTCCTAGCTACTTAAAACTTGCACTTTACTAAAATAAAATTGATTGGGCTACAAATCTGCATACTCAAAAAAGTTTGATTAAATAGCTGCAAATTTTCATGAAAATTTGCTGAATTTTCATGAAAATTTGCTGAATTTTCCCGAGTTTTGCACAAAGTTTAGAAATTATATTTTTATGTTTTTTGTTGTAGAATGAACCATATTTTTATACGAAATTAGCGGAAAAATATTAGAATGAAAATTGTTACATATATTGTGAAAAATTTGCAGTGCCAATACTTTGTTCCGGCAGTGTATGTACATATGTACATACTTACGTGCATATACACATTCCAACATGCATTCAATAATAGCAGCTGCAGCTAAATTTTGTTAATTTTTTGCTTTCTAAGTATTTTCGAATTTCTATATAGACAAGTTTAGATATAAATTTCAAATGTTTATTGTTTTCATATTGGCACAAGGTGCTGGCTCATAACTTGGATCATATATGAATCCTAAAAGATTCATATAAGGTTAAAAATTTTTTGTTTTTGAAACTCATATTTCTTACCTACCTAGCACTCGTGGCACAAAAATTACAATTATACTTATAATTACAGGTATTGTCTTCCCAGGGTGCACATATTCCGATCTGCCTTATTTGAAAAACATCATCACCCACACTAAAAGGTTTACTGCTAGGGAAAAGGGATATATACCATACATATCTGTACAAGTAATTTTTAAACCAAGCTTCTTGCAGAGGACTTAGTCAATTTGCAAAAGCCGAAAAAGTACATTCGCTCAGTAAAAAAATACTAAATTTGTATGGTTAACTTCATTTCAAACGTTTTTTCTTTTGTTTTGAAAAATTATAGAAATTAAATTGAGCGAAAAAAAGCAAAGCCAAATAAAAGTAAAAGAATCAACATTGAACTGCGTCAAAATGAAAAGAAGGGAGCACAAATTTCGATATGAAGCAAAACTCTCTGGGAAGACAATAACTGTAATTATTGTACCAAAAAAAAAAACAACAAAGCTGCTAAATAAAATTCACCAGCAAAGTTTTCAATGATTTCTCTAAAAAAAAAATATTTAAAAACTTAATTGAGTATACATAAATACCGAATACTATTATTCCATCAACAAGGTTAAAAACTACAATGCAGTGACATGATTACTATTTTTTTCTGTTGTTGTTGTTGTTGTTATTTTTGCCGCCAATGCAGTAAATGCCGTCACTATTTTCGTTTCTAATGCAGTTCGCCTTGAACGACGCTGAACAAAGCAAGAAGTACAAATAAAACTAAACATAAGAACTATGCATTTTACTGCTGGTTTACATGCTTGTTATTTTGGGTCACAGCTACGATTGACGTTGGACATGGTAAGCGAGTGGCTGGTTGTAAGTTACCGCTGTAGTATATGTTAAGTCAAAATTTTTATTGACACTATTGGCGTACTTGAAGAGGTTGATTACTTAAAGAACTTCTGATTTTTTTTTGTCGTTGTTGTTGTTGCTCTTTTATAATGCTAATAAAAAGCTATTTAAGGTATAACTTTTAATGATTTGATTAAGATATAGGAGAAGCAAATACGAGTTAATTTTGATAGTGAGTATTTTCATGCTATGTACAATTAAAGGATTGTAAAGCTATATACATATGTATATACATACCTGAGCATTCTAGATAGGCAAAGAAAATAAATAAAAAAAAAAACTCAGATTATGAAGAGCATTTAATGTGCGTAAAGATCAGTTTTTACGATCACAAAGAGTGCGATTGAGTTGACAGTACTTAGTCGCAGGTCTACCTGTGCAGCTATAAAAACTACAATTACATATGTAAATCAAATCGAGTGGGAGCAACAAGCAAAGTCACATAATACTTACAATTAGACATAAACAAAAAAGTTGCCTACTAAAATCAACCAACGGCTGCTAATATTAACCTTCAAAATTTTTACAAATACTTTTTCTACTCACTGTAAAAGATGTGACATTTTCATGGACATAATTTTACAGATTGTTTCAAAGCAGTCATAAAAGTCTCTCAGCACTTTAATGTTCATTCTGTGTGTGTAGAGGTATCCCGTATATACAAGCAGACGACAGGCCATAAAATTCACACTTAAGCAACCAGAAATTAAAGAAAGAAAATCGCATTGCGGAAAAGGGACCCATAAAACTGCTATAAAAGTGAAGTATGTATATAACCGTACAGGAATGAGACGAGTGATTTGAGGTCGTCGAAAAAGGGAAAAGGCATAGTTGACGAAGAAGAAGCGGCATCACACAAGCATTTTAAGCATGCATTGAGCTACTACTATATACATGTATAATCGTAGGAATTCGCCAGTGTGTACATAACTATTTAAATATGTATGGTAACTCTGCTTATGGTAATGCTAGCAATAACAATATGAATAAAAGTTCATCAAATTGGAATTTATAGCGTTGGTGGTAAGGTGTAAATGTGAAGAAAATGTACAGGGCAGTGAGACAAACGCATATTTACACCAATAAATATATTTATTTATAAAAAAGCAAATATACTGCCGGCAGCTACCATTATAGCAAAATATCCTGAGTTACCTCTTGTGTCCTTTACTATTTCTGATCCTAAATCTTTAACTATACTAATATATATTTTGGAAGCCGTTTTTTTGTGTTCACAAAGCTCGAGAACGACCGAACCGATTTTTTTTTTAAATTTTGGACAGCTGCCACGTACGTCCCAAAGATAGTTATATGTATACCATGTCCCCACCAAAAAGTTAACCATCTCAAATCGAACTTAACAACATCACTAACTATTGCTGTCCACACTGCGGTTTGAGGTATATAAAGGCCTGTATGCAGCTCTCAAGGAGCAAGCAAAAACTCCATATAAAATGACGTACAAGAAATGGCTAAGAAATTTACTTGAGTCAAATTTCCTTAAGGCAGTGCGCAGTTCTTAAGAAATTTACTACGCTTTCTACTACGGTTTTCTAAAGTTTTTTGTGAAAAAAGAGCACAAGGCAACCCAGGTTTGCAACAGAAATATATGCCCGTTCCATTATTTCTTGAGGAAAGAGTGAGGCAACAGGCTGTGAGGTGTCAAAAATGTCAAAATTCCTTGGACACACACGCGAAATAATGGCAAAATTTTCTTGACTGTTTTCTTGAGAGCTGCATACAGGGCTTAAAACAGTACAAATGTAGAGAACAGTGTTCGGACGAACAAAACTCGATTCAGGACTAAATCGCTGCAAAAATCGGAGCAAAAACAAATTTTCCGTACTAGATTGAATTTTTTATTTTCGTTTCTGACATTAATTGTTTGACTTAAATATTTTCTATACATGCAAAAATAAGAACGCGAGGAAATGTAAGGATAATATGTTACATACTTAGGTAATTTTTAGCATTTTCTATAGAGCAGAACATATCTAACACTTAATTTTTTAAAGAGCAATAGGATCTAAAAATTTTCTACTTTATATAAATTTCATTCTACATATATTTTTTAACAACTTAAGTAAAGTTCTGCATCCGCCAATTTCTACAGTCATACATAAAAAAATAACGAAGTTACTTTATTGAGGCATTGCTATGAAAGAGCTACTTTTCAACAGTGAGATTTGGTTAAGTTTAAATTTTTTACTGAAACCGGTGGTGAACACGCAAAAAACGGCCCCAAGAGGGGCATAACATGAATGAGAAAAAACGCAATAGATTTGACGTCAAGCGGAGTAGAGGAGTAGATTTAAAATTTTTTCAAAAACCGAATTTTTTACATTTTAACGCTAATGACCCATAGATGGCGGGAAAACACAGGGTTGTATGAGACTTTCGACGTGGTTTCGAGTTGATTAGCTTTTAACCATCTCAGTGAAATGGTTAAGTGCTGTCATTTTTATATGGCGAAACTACGCTAAATCAGGCGGGTTATCGGGATAACCAACTCATCCACCATAACTACGTGGTCAAGCTCTGGTGGGGACATGGTAATAGGCTAAAAAAATTTCGTTATGTAAAGGGGACGTGGCCCCTCCCATACAAAGAGAAATTTTTATACGTTTTATACGAAAATGTTGGACCAAAAAGTTAAACAAAAAAATAATAATAATTTTAGGCGGGACGAAGTTCGCCGGGTCTGCTAGTCTCTATTTAAAGGGTGTCTAAGAAAGTTTAAGAAGAAGATAGAACGTGTGGAGTTATTCCTATAAAAGTGCCACTGTTTTTTGAAATATTGATATTTTTTGAATTAAAACAAACATCTTTCCAGATAGTTATTATCATATTCAAATGCAATTTAGTAAAAAGTTATTAAGGAACCATTTTATAATTATGACTGTTTTGGAATTTTTACTATGTGTAGTGAAAAAATGTACTGGACCATAACTGCTTACCATATAAAAACAATCACCTATTTAAGATTTCTTAAAAGTGTCACATTTACTATTTGCAATATAAAAAGCCGCTTTTGTTGGTAAGGGACTGAGACATGCAGGAATGCAATTAACTGATTTAAATTTTAGTATATTTTAGGAATGAGCAAATAAAGTCGCTGCAAAGACACGGCAATCTGCACAGGTAATGGTTTACCCTCCAGTCGGTTCTGTCGCAGCTGTGAGGACCCGGGCTCAAAGAAGACAGTTAAATACTTTTTGTGCAAATTCCCAGCCGCTAAATGGCTTTAGGTTCCACGAGTTGTTACTAAGATTCTTAAACCTGACTTGACTGGTTATGATGACTGGTATGTCGATTGATAGGATTTTCTGATAAAATCTAAAAATTTGCCGAAACGATATGGAAAGCTAAAGTGTTCTAGAAAAAAAAAAACGTGTTACTGAATTTGACTACAGCTTTTTGTTATTAGAACCAGAATCAAATTTGAGGTCGTTTTATACATTAAATTGCATTGGTTTTACGACCAATAAGTAAAAAGCCTAATCCACTGTAAAAAACTTTGGAAGATGTCAGGAAAAATCCTTTTGGAATTGCCTACTGGGTATGGATACTAACGCTAGGGCATAGTTTGCCACCAATATTAAAAAATCGTAAGTTTTTCGTAATTTTCCTGCACTAAATGTTCCAAAACCGTCAAGAGAAGATACTAAAAAAAATAATTGATTTTTCATGAAAATCTACACTGAATTGCACTTTAAGCCTGAAACAAAAGTAAGCATCTACTTTTGCATGTACATATATATATATGTTTGTAAATATGTGCATGAATATGCGCTAGGTATATCTTTACTCCATTTGAAACAGTTTTATGGCGGTTAAGTGCATATGCTGCTTTATTTCTTATACGAAAAAAAGTAAGTATTTTTAACAATACAATAACATTTCTGCGTGTAAGAAAATAAAAATCTTGATCTATGTACCCTAAAAAGGCATTTGAGAACAGCCAAAGTAACTCAAGTGCTTTTATACTACGTAAGAGTACATCTTTTTATGCGAACTATGTGCGAGAAGAAACCGATAGCTGTATGTGGGTAATGCTCTAATGACAGTATTCCATTTGCTTAACGGTTGTTGAATGTGTGAAGTGAAATGTTTTACGCGAACAAGCTGCACATAAATTATTATTAAAGTAATGCAGAGAAGAATTCTTTCAAATAGAAGTGTGTAAGTTAAGTAGACAGCTACCCTTACTGCGGTATTTACAATTCATACTTAAGTAAGGCGAAATGAAAAAAACTGTATGCAGCAAAAATAAATGGGTGCAAATAAAAACAGGGAATGAAATAATAGCAAAAAATATTTATTCTTCACTTAGCGTAACTCGACGGCCAAGTGTTTAGAACCTCTTCAACTCGGTAAAACTAAGTTTCTGTCGCTTGTCCGGCAAGATCTCAGAACAGGAAAAACATTTTCTTTAAAGCGCTCGTGGCTTGGCAGGCAATGACCAACCTCCAAAGTGTATAATGGAAGAGGGCTGCTGGGGCATACGTTAAACAAATATAGCAGAAACTGAAAAAAACTTAGGGTACCATTCATAAAAGTAATCGATTTATTCGATCAGGAAGATTTGGTGGTTCAGCCTGAAGGATAAATTTATATGAACTAGACGGTTCTCCATATTAAGTAGGCCTAATTTTACCAGCTCTCACCTATACCTAACACCACCTTTTCACACAACTAATAACAATGGATAGCTATTACAGGGTAGGTGCTCGAAGTGTTACCAATTAAATTTGCATTTTTTTTATTATTATTAAAAACGCCAGCTCATCATAAAAACTAGTAAAGTTTTAAGAAAAGTGTTTACTTACTGTACGTTGTAGCCACCTTATTTGTAATTTTTATACAATATTAAAAAAATAACAATCATATTTGATATTTATTTGAAGTTTTAAAAATTTTTAATTTGTGTGTAATTTTTATACAATATTAAAAAAATAACAATCATTTTTGATTTTTATTTGAAGTTTTAAAAATTTTTTCATTTGTTTGTAATTTTTATACAATATTGAAAAAAAAAAAACAATTATATTTAATTTTTATCTTAATAATCTGTGAATATCAGTTATTTTTGATTTTTTTTTATGATATATCTTAAATAACAGAAAACTTATATTTATAAAAGTTCTAACTAAAAATCAGTCGGTGTCTTTTGCTTTTAGAAGTCATCAGAGAGAACAAAAGTTTACTACGACTTATACCTACAAATGACATTTACAATTATGATTTAAAAAATAAAAGTCAGTGACAGATTTATATTGATGACTTTCAAAGGTAAAAGTCAGTGACTGATTTTTATTTATGACTTTTATAAATAAAAATCTTCAATAACTGTTATCTAAGACATATAATTTGAAAATCAAAAATAACTGTTATTTGCAGATTGTTATTTTGGATTTATAAATTAAAAATCAGAAATAACTGTTATTTAAAGAGTAATAAAATAATAGTCAAAAAATAATTGTTAAAAAAATTGTTTTTATTAAAAGATGTAACTATTACGGTCCTTGTGCTTTACTCTCTTGCGGACGAAAATAGTTTGATGTCAATAAGTCTCGGCCGTACCGCAAAAAGTTCACGAAAACCAACGATTTTTATAGAGAAACTTCCCAGCTTCGTTTCATTCACCGGAATTAAAACCAATGCATTTTTCCATGGACCATATGGTGAACCTCTAGGTGAAATTAGCAGTCAAAAAATATGAAACAGTCAACGCCTTGAAAATTGCTCTTCGCCGCCACTGGAACAAAATACCATCAGACCACATTTGTGCAGCCTTGTGAAGCATTACCGGAGAGAATCGATGCTATTATCCGCGATAAAGGTAGCTACATACATCGAATGCCTACTACTGTGTAAGTACTACAGATAGTCTGTAGAACCAACACGTGAGATGACACCCCAAATTTACGCCAGGCTTGGTAATAGTAATTCTTGCACTCTCGCCCAACTGGTGACTGATCATGAGAACCATTACTGGTATCGTAGCATATATGTGTGTTCTATGCACAGAGTGTGTATGAAAAACGCATTAATATTCGTATTTTTGTTTTTTTTTTTGGAAAATTCTTGAAGGCAGACAGCATTCGACTATATTAGCATTTCTAAACATAAAGCACTAGCTAAAACATATGCTACGCATAGCTGGCATGATGCTACTAGCACAGTAGGCTGCTCGTTGTCAGTGTAGAGACAGACAGTCTGTCTTAGCAGCATTTCAAAAAGTAGGTAATTTTGGTAATTTGCTTGAGGTAGTTTTTTTTTTACTTACGACAGCGTAAAGCATGTAAAACATTTTAATGAGTCTTGAGTCTCACGCATACACACAGACTTCAAACCTGATGGCGTACCAGCTTCCTTTTTATATTTTTATGCTTTATGATTGCTCTATTCACCCCATTTTAATACCACATTATTTTTCCCCCATTTGGTGCTTTTAATTTCGTCTTTTTCACGAAGCGTTTTGGTGTCTGCTTGTATGCTAAAAAGCATGTCGGTGCGTCTTCACTTGATGTTAATGCCGTTATAATTGTATACAAGTATGTTTATTGTTAATCATATATACCTATATATAGCTCTGAACGTATCTACCAGTATTGCTGCTGGTAGCGATTGCCGCACCGGCATTTAAGTGCCAACTCGTCAGACACTTGTGCGCCTTAATATTTAGTCTCAAATCCGGTAGAAATGAAAATGCGTTAATGTTGTGCAGAAAATGTTAATGGCTTTGAACTGGTAAGCGTTTTTGTCGTAATGGTATTTATTGTAAGACGATTAAAATTGTTGTCTGTGCGATGCGAAAATTAAGTGCCAAGAGATGTTGTTTTTCGCTTCTTTTAGAATATTCACTGAATAAATGTGCATATAAAGCATGTTAGCAAACAATTTAAATTTTTTTTTTGGAAAAAACTTAAATTTCATGTATCTAGGTTAGAAGCTTGAACGATTTAAATTCATCCACACTTAGTTATGTCTGAAATGAGTCTATAATATATGTTCAGTATTCAAAACAGTAAATTTACCAGTTGAGATATTTAACTAAATTTTTTTAAAATTTCACCTGTTTTCCGTTCGTCACAGTAAGACCAAAAATGTTATTTAAAACGTAAATATTTTATTTGGGCTCATATTTCGACATTTTATAGTTTACAAATTTTTAATTGATTTGTATGTAATAGCCCAGATATGGTAGCCACCGAAGCCGATTTAGTAGACTCATCCTG